AGTATAATTTTCAAAGTTTTAACGATAAGAGCACGGTATTTCTTTATCAGAGGCGCCTTGACAGCAAACTATCAAATGCGGAAGAATGCACCTTTTATGAAATCTATAAGAACGTTATCGAAAGTCTAAGAAATGCCACCAGAGAAGCAGTAGGAATAAAGGCAAACGAGATCAACAAAAAATACTGGTGGAACGAGGAGATAGAGTTACTAGTTCAGGAAAAGAAACAAAAATATTTAAAATGGTTGGCAACAAAAAATAAACAAGATCTGGAAGATTATAAACAATCAAAAAGACAATTAAGAGCGGGTATTAATTTAGTTAAGAACGAGACGTGGGATAAGAAATCTGAAGAAGTTAACAATTAAATCGGAGGAAGGAAATGCTCGGAGGTATGGAAATTTATATCAAATGTCAAAACCCAGCAAAGACAGAGCAAGTATCCAGATAATCAAACCGGAGCAGTGGATACAACACTACAAAGGTCTACTACAAGAAACTAGACAGAAATACATAATAGAATCTCCAAAACATTTTGTAGTAAATGAAAAAGAAGTAGAGGTATCCGAAGAAACAGTAAAAAAGACAGTTTTGAACCTTAAGTTAGGGCAAGCTAGCGGACCAGAAGGGATTTTCTCCGACATATTAAGATGGGGAACGGAAAAACTCTTTAGAAATCTAACAATAATTATCAATAAATGCCTAAATGGAAATCCTGTTCCAGAAGACTGGAAAACAGCTTATATATCATCCATCCATAAAAAAGGAAATAAACTGGACTGTAACAACTATCGAGGCATATCAATCACGAGTACACTGAGGAGACTATACAGTAGAATACTGCGAGATCTAATTGAAGAAGACTATAAAGAGAAAGACCTGGTTTACAAGACCTGGAAAGACTCATGAACAAAATAGTCATGTGTAGTAGGGAGTACGGACTCTCTCTTAATGTCAAAAAGACGAAGTTTATGAAAATTTGTAAAAACAACTATAATACTAACGAAATCTTGATAGTAGAGGGCCAGCAGATCGAAAGAGTAAAAAAGTACACTTACCTAGGAACACTTATAACAGAAAATAATGACTACACGGCAGAAATCAAAGTCAGAATCGAAAAAGCACGTTCTAATTTTATAAAAATGAAAAAGGTCCTATGTGGCAAAGATCTAACATTAGCTCTTAAAGTACGCCTAACAAAATGTTAGGTATACAGTGTACGATATTATGGAGTGGAATCATGGACGTTAAATCTAGATACCATGAGACGACTTAACGCCTTTGAGATGTGGACCTATAGAAGAATTACGAGGGTTTCCTGGGTAGATAGAGTTACAAACAATGAAATACTGAGAAGAATAGGCAAAGAGAAGGAAACTGAACTTACAATTAAAGAAAGAAAGCTACAGTATCTCGGACATGTGATGCAGGGCGATAAGTATGGCATCCTGCGACTCATAATGCAAGGAAAAATAGATGGCAGAAGAAACATCGGAAGAAGACGAATTTCATGGCTGAAGAACCTGAGAGAATGGTTTGGATGCAGCTCAAAACAACTATTTAGATCTACTGCCCCAAAAATTAAGATAGCTATGATGATTGCCAACCTTCGTAGCGGAGATGGCACCTGAAGAAGAAAAAGAGAAAGAAGAAGAAGATCAAAGCGGCTCTAGAGCAGGTAGTTCGTGTACCGACAACGTATTTTGTCTAAAACAAGTCATAGAACAAACGAACATCAATCACAACTATATAGCTGCACTTAAAGAACTGTATGAAAATTCACAATCAAGAATTAAGATAGGTAAAAAACTACTTGGGTGTTGCCTTTGACAATACAGGAACTGATACACGGGAAATAGAAAAACGAATCACTCAAGCAAAGAAAGTCTTAGGATGTCTCAATGGTGTACTGTGGAGTAAAGAGATAACGAAAGGAAGAAAATTTAATATATATGAGACCATGATTAAAACTACTCTTCTTTATGGCGCTGAAACATGGAGAATTAATAGTAGAATGGCAACCAAAACAAAAAAGTGGAAAACAAAAAAGTAGTAGAATGGCAACCGATAGGTCGACGGAAAAGAGGAAGACCCAGATTAGAATGGCAACACGGCGTAAACAAGTCCATGAGCGAAAGGAATTTAACAACAAACGACTGCGAAGATAGGAAGAGATGGTGTTTAGGTATCGGACAACGTCGAAAGACGTTATAAACCGATTTATATATATGTATATATATATATATATATATATATATATATATATACATATATATATATATATATATATATATATATATATATATATATATATATACATATATATATATATATATATATATATATATATATATATATATATATATATATAAGAAATACTGGATATTATTGACTGTCGATATAAACAAACAACACAGTTTATTAGGGTTGCAGTCAGAATATTGGCCGGGATGTTAAATAAAAAACACTCTTTTGACTTTTTGTCGAGCTTTCGGAATGATTTTACTCCTTTTTCAAGACACTGTAAAAGACAATTATGTAAATATTTAAAAAATATCACAATTCTTCAGTGTAACTTACTAGTCGTTGAGATTATTTTTGTAAGCATTGAACACTCAACATTTATACCACACATTAAAATATACAATTATGGACATAATACATCATAAAATTTTTAAAATTTGTTGTAAAAATAGTAAAACTTGATTGATGGCATGTTTTACTGGTGTATATTAACTCATACAGAGAATGGAAAGAAAAAACAGTGTAATTAATATGTAATTAATTAGGTGTAAATTGATGTTATCTTTCTTTTCAAGAAATACTATATTAGAGCCCCTCCTTAGGTGTCTATATATATATATATATATATATATATATATATATATATATATTATATAACTCACAGATGCCTTCATAGTGAATAAAGGACTACGTCAAGGATCTTCTATCTCTCCTACACTATTCAAAATATATGTAGCAGCGGCACTTAAGAACTGGAAAAGGAAAATACACGGAATGGGTATAGAGATGGATGACAGATACCTGTTTACTCTTCAGTTTGCAGATGATCAGGTCATAGTGGCCAATGATAAAGACGACATGCAATATATGATTAGAAAGCTGATAGAAGAGTATGAGGAATGGGGCTTGACAGTTAACGTAAATAAAACGAAATATCTATATGTAGGCTCTCAAAGCGAAAATTTGGAGTGGGACAACGGTCAAGAAATTCTGAAATGTCAAGAATATGAATATGAATATGAATTCGACAATACCGGATAAACAAAAGATAACAAAAAGGAGAAAATTTAATATATACGAGACAATGGTTAAGAGCAGCCTATTGTATGGAGCGGAAACATGGAGACTTCCAGACAGACAAAAAAAAGAAGGTAGAGTCCTTAAATAAACTGCGTCTTTGATGCTGACATGTATACAAAACATCCATAATCCAGTCGAGTGCTAATGAGAGATCCATATACCCTAATTAGGATATCTTCATCAGCTCCCCAGTAATGGTTTGCTAGAGATTTCAATAGATTTAATCTAGCTATGAATTTAAGCTAGCTGTGGATTAATTGCATACATGTCAGATGAAAGTGAATTAATGTAGAAGTAATTTGCTGTGCTTCCATTTTGAGGTTACTACTTGACGTGGCGTTTTCAAGATAGGCTATGAGATGATCTGGTGGAGTAGAAAAGCTTTGGGGGTTGTTGGTATAAAGATCTTTAAATATTTGCTTTGATGCATCCGATGTTTTGGATTTATTTGTGGGATCAATTTGACTTCTTCATAATGTATTTTGTGCTTTTTTATATTAAGACTTTAGAAGGAGGCATTAGTGACGAGTTGTCAAGTTGAGGATTAGGTATTAGTTGGTCAATAGAGTGTGTTTCCTGTTGTCCTGAGTGGGTTCGAAAGTGCTCTTTTTTGTCCTTGCATAAGTTCATCAGGTAATTGGTCTAAAGTAGTAGCTGATGAGGTTTTTTTACCGATGATTGTTCACCGACAGATTGAGGAACATTAGTGTTTTGACAATTTGTACAAGTTGCAGCTGTATGGCCAATTTGTTTACAAATAAAGCGTTACATTCTATCAGTATATAAAAATATACGGTAGGGTGTGGAATCGAATTCAATGACTAGTGAGCTCTGAAACTCATAATTCTCAGTAGTTTAGATCGTGAGGAATTGAGAGACAGACATTCTAAATTATGACACTTTTTGCTGGAGTAACTAATCTCCCAATAGGTAGGTCTAGAGTGTTTACTTTAATAATGGGATTGTTGGTAATAAGCAGATCCGGTTGTGCGAGATTCTAGATGCAAATATTATATTTTTAGGGCCAACAATATCACCAGTGGATTTAACATAGTCGAATAGTTTTAAGGGTTCTTCCAAGTGATAAATAATTGCATGCTACTTTTTAGGAAAAGAAGGCTTGGGTTTAGATTTCATAACAGCAACGTAAGATGTGGGTGTTGAAGATTTGGTATTACTGGATGTAAGCATTACTGTGGTATTGACTATAGATGTATTATTCATAATTTTATTGCTTTTGTAGTCAAAAGCAATGAAATGATCAAGATTAATGTTTTTATTTCTCCTGGAATATGCGCAAATAACAACCTCTCATATCGTAAAATGTGTTGCCTATACTGTTTTGCCAAAAGCCTAGAATTCTTGGCGGAATTAATTGCTTTCTTATAAGTAGGTTGATAACAAAAAATTAGACAACTGTTGGCAATATTTGCTTGTTACTTTGCGAATACGTTCCATGCAGCAATGAAGATAATATTATTAATCTGTACACAATTGTTTTTTATCACTATTTATTGTAATTAAATACTAATAAAACTGGTATTTACGGTAGCCAATTGCAAAAATCGGCACTTATTTACAGAGAAACAATTTAAAACTTAAAAAGCCCTGAAGAAATTAATATATAATCTTTTTTTTTAATCAAAATTATTTTTTATTTATTTTTACTTTTCTAGCTACATTGTTTGCTGTTTCCGATGGAATGGCATATGGATGGACGTCGCCTATGATCCCATATCTTATAAGTGATGGAAGTCACATCCAAACGACACATTATGAAGCGGAATGGCTTGAAACAGCATTGCTATGTGGAGCACTGTGCGGTTTGCCGCTAACAATATATTCCGTCGATAAATTTGGCAGAAAAAGATCGCTCATTTTTGCCTCATTTACAATATTAATTGGATGGCTGTTGATTGCACTAGGGAACACAATAATTTATCTTTTTGTTGGAAGGTACGGGTATCTAAAACATAATATAAGTGATATATAATATCTTATTATAATTATTTGGATAAGTATTTGGTATTTACTTACATATTTTATTATGATATAATTTAATTTTATTATATATTCTAATAACTTATTTCGTCAAATTCTGAGAAACCACTTATCTAAATCGCCATACGTTTTCACGAAACAATTAATTTTAAGCCCGAAAGCACAAAAACGCCTTTTAAAAATCAAATTTCTTGAAACCGTATCTGAATTACTGCTTTTCAAAGGAGCGATGCACTACGCAATAAAATAGATTTAATTTATTCCAGCAAGCTTTCCTTAACAACTACCCTCGAGAGAGATCATCTCGGAGGATCTTTAGGTACGGGTTATATCCCTACACATAGAATCAGGAAGTAGCTAACAAGTTATCGTACGTAAGACCACCGAGCTTATTAGACGTTGCACTCGCTACAATTAACACATTTCAACAAAAATTTATGACTTACGTAAGTCAATTCTATTCACATTAAGTATGCCATTTTTCGTTTATAATTTTAATAAATACTTCTTCTTCACGTGGTATATCAGAATTAGCCTACGTTAGCTATCATCATAATGACGGCTTCTCAATCTTTTGCCACATCGAATAATTGTCCAGAATTTGATTTTTGAATCCATTGACGGATGTTTCTTTTTTAATTTGGCTTTTAAGGATCAACTGTAGTATTTCATATTAACTTTCACTCACTATATATCCCAGATAAGACATTTTCGGTATTTAACAGTATTTAGCAATTCTCTATATTTCTTGGCCCTCCTTATTACTACCTCAGTAAAGTTTATTGCTGTCCAAGGTATCTTTAGCATTCGTCTATAAATACACATTTCCAATGCTTTAATTCTGTTCATTCTTGATACTTTTAGTGCCCACACTTTTGCTTCATACAAAAGTACAGACCAAATGAAGACTACAGGGAAAAACCAGATATATCAAAATTTCATAAACCCTAGAAAAACGCATATTTAACTTTCAAAACCATAATGTGTCTTACGTTGGAACGGATAAAAAAACTCGCGAATCAAAATTGTTCCATAAAAACACATGAACGGCATTGTACTGTTTTATTCAAAAAAAAAATGTGTTACATTCTTTAAAAATCCAGAAAATTCTTGCCAACCGCAGTTTGTCCATTGAAAGAACCAGCTTATTCGTCTGAAACAGAAAATTGTCAATGCTTTTAATAATGAAAATAGGTTCATTTTGGTTAGTAGTTCTATTGTAAATGATAGGTAATAATAAATACAGTAAAACCTGTCAATAACGGTCACTAAAAATGACTGAACTATTGGCCGATATAAAAAGGTGGCCGGTAATTCCAGGTTTTGTAGTCCACAAATTTTGGTTTGGGAAACTTTCAAACGGACAGGCTGGTACAAGTGGCCGGTTTTGACAGGTGACCGTTAACACAGGTTTTACTGTAACACAGCTCGTTAAAGATGCCTACCTCTCGTTGGAACACCAGAGCATTTGTCAAAATTTTCTGTTGGTGGAAGCGTGCTCCGGGCGTAGGTGATTAGTCTTAATCGCAGAAGTAGGTCGACGCCGACGTTAAATAAAGAAATAAAAAAAAATAATTATAATAATAATAATTTACCTGTTACGAGTGATTATAAAGTAAGACGTGGGAAAAAGTCCACAGCTGCAGGACCACAGAATCTCATAAGGCTCATTAAATCGCTGTGCTCGGCTTTTGAAATTGCGAGGGGTCCTGAAATAACATAAAGGACAAAATATTAAAATTTCTTGTGATACCTTATACCTTACCTAAGTAGGCTGGTAATGGTAATTCAAATTCTCCATTCTTCAACTCCGTAGTTGTTGAGGTCATTTGTTTCTTCAAGATGCTTGACAAGAATGGTCCATTGTAAGAAGATCGATGATTTGTAAATCCACTGTGTTCTGATGTGGTACTAACCTCTTTCAAAATATGAGTTTTAAAGAGCATTTTGGAACATACTTCTTGTCCAAAAATGATTTCCAGTCCAAAACTATATTTCGTGTTACTTTCACGACGACGAATGGAGACGGCTTTACGCGGGACGCCCTGATTATATGTCTCTAAACACTTTTGGTACTTCAAAATGCGATTTAGATTCCACAGTCCAACATTATTGTCACACTCTGAGTATCCACAGACGAGATACGTAATTTTTATTTCACTAAGTCCATGGATTTTTTTATTCACGTAATAATGTATGAATCGGAATATTGTAAAATTTTTGTTTTGTCCTCCAGCTGAGTCACAAAAAATTTTTAACTTCTCAACCTCATTATCCAAAAAGTTATTAATAAAATGTAATAAAAGACACCACCTCATTGTAACCTGTTTTGGCAATTCGCTCGTGGTAAGAGTAAAAAATTGATTAGCCAGACGACAAGACGTGAACATTAAAAGTGTACATTGATAGCTGGCGCTTATAGTACACGTCGTTTGTCGCAATATTTGGGATTGGTACATTCTTTGCAAAATCAATACAAATTGCTTCCATTTTTTTCGTTCCTCTTCTGGTTCTTCTTGCTTCCCTTCTTCGCGAATAGAATGCCTCAGTCTTTTAGTAGTATCGGTGCGCGGATACCCGAAAGATATGTTAAACTACTGTACAAAAATACACCAGTACGTTTCGTACGATACGTGAACATTTGGATTTTTTTTTAAATAGAGAATACATTTTTATTACATTTAGTTTTATAAAATAACCGTTTTAGAAATGCGAACTTTTTCTACATGCCTCTTTACATTTTCGCAAGAAATAAAACGAGTATTTCTATTATGTTATGTTATATCAATGCATACATGTCTTGTTGAACATTTGATCACTCAAAAAAATAATGATATTCGATATTCACAAATGTTTGTTTGTTCTTACAAAAAAACTTTCTATTATTGAAAAACGCATTGTTTAATAATAATTTTTAAATTAATCCAATGCTATCTACCGTGAAACTTGTGACATATCTGGTTCTTTCACTGGACGCATGGACAAAGCTGGTTTTTTCCCGGTAACCCGAAACTTTGAAGTGTTATTACTCATGACAAGACTACTTTTTGCCCTGTACGATAGCTCTAAAATGTGCTTCTTCGCGTGTTCTATAACAGACAATAGAAATCTGAAATTTGAAAAAAAATGACATGTCTGGTTTTTTCCCTGTAGTTTTCAAATATGGCACTTAACCATTCTCTGTCCTAGTTCTAAAACCGAGATGATTCTTACAAATAAATGTCTTTATTTTCAATTATAATTACTTGGGAATAAGCTACAATTTATTTTTAAAATAAGTTAATTTTTAACGTAACGATTTCCACATCAGGAATCTTTCTTAAAATACAATACTTCCTCACTGGCCACTGGCTTTACAACTCGAGGTGAGTCTTCGCCGTATCCACTATCGTCCTCCATCCTTTACGATCTTGCGGTTCTATTTTCCATTGTTGTACCTCAATTCTAGATAAATCGGCTTCAACATCATCCTTCCACATTTTTCTCGGTCGGCCTACTGATCTTCTACCATCTGGTCTTTCAAAAAACACTGTCTTTAATACTCCGTCATCCTCTGATCGTACCACGTGACTTGCCCATTTTATTTGGTTTGCCTTGATATGTCTAATTATGTTTTCAGCTTCATACAGAGTCACCAATTCAGTATTGCGGCGTCTTTACTACTTCGAAGTTGTAATCATTAATACTGATGTTCTGCCTAACTCTTGGCCTTAGATTTTTGGTTACTACCATGTACTTTGTCTTTTCTTCATTTATTCAGAGACCCCAGACTACTTGTTTTCTCCTCGAGCTGTGAAAACACCTCTATTACGTCTCTTGTAGAATCCGTGACTGCATTTATATCAATAGCAAAGGCCAGCAACAGTTTTGATCCTTGATCAGCAAATCCTTCTGTCAGATTAGACGATATTTTACTTATTGCATATTTTAAAGCAAAATTGAACAGCAACGGTGGCAAGAGTCCCCCTTCCTAAGTCCTGAATTTATACCAAATGGCATCAATGTTCTGCTTCCTATTTTTACTTGCGAATATGAGTCTATAACGCACATTTGCATTAATTCAACCAATTCTCTTGGTGTTCCCCTTTCTAACATTGCTATCCACAAGTTGCTTTTTTTATGCAATCATATGCTTGCTGGAAATCTATGAAAATTTGGTGCACATCGCGGTTGAATTCCCAATGTTTCTCTAATATTTGTCGGATGGTAAATATCTGATCTATAGTTGACCTTTCAGCAAGGAAGCCGCATTGGTAGTCGCCTAGAATATCTTCCGAATATGGTGTGAGTCTCTTTAGCAAGATAATTGATCGCATTTTATATAATGTGTTAATAAGCGATATAGTCCCAAATAGACCATATGCTCATCACAAAGAGAAAGCAAACATCGATAACAGACGTGAGAACATACAGAGGTGCACATGCAGACACAGACCATTTCATGGTTACCGCAACGTTAAGACAAAAAGTCAAAAGAACGCTAAAAAACAAGACAACAAAGGACAAATGGTACATAGAAAAATTAAATGCTACAGATAGAAGAATTAAATATGCAGAAGATATAAGCAAAAAACTGAAGGAATACTGTGAACATATAGAGGATGTTGAAACAGAATGGAGCAATATAAAAAAATGTATAAATGAAACAGCTTCTGAACATGTAGGGATAGAGAGAAAGAAAAACAAAGAAGAATGGTATAATCAAGACTGTCATAACAGGTTAAAAAAGAAGATAGAAATAAGACAAAGGTGGATCAGAACAAATAGACAAGAATATAAAGAAGAATACAACAAATTAAGGACAGAATGTAAGAAACAAATAAGAAAAATTAAACGAACCTGGTTAAATAATAAGATAAATGAAATAGAAAAAGAAAACTCAAATGGAAACACAAAAGCATTTTATAAGAAAATTAGCGAGCAGAACAAAACCTTCAAAGGAAAGATAAAAGGCA